TATTATACAGAAAAACACAGTCAAGATCCACTCCGAGGGCCTGACGATCACAACAGCCATGCTGGTCGCCACGATTGTCCTCCTGTACGCGTGTTTCCTGCTGACCAAGTTCACACTGGGCAGGCCCGTGGGCTGGATGAGCCTCATCACATATGTCCTGTTTCTAACCTGTGCCATCGCCATCGAAATAATCAACGACAATTTGAACCACTGCGACATCGAAGATGATGCCTACACACATCTTCTGCACAAGAATATTTGATCTCTATGTATCTTCTATGTATTTCCAATCAAAATTCATCCGTATTCCAGAGTAAAGTAACAAAGCGGCCGGAGTGTGTTTTATTAGGGCGTTTTATGTTTTATTTATTATGCTTTGTCCATCATCGATAACCACCACTCCACTAACTAACACCAAAGGCTTATCAGCACGGCTTGCCGTTCGGTTCGCTTCTCCTACTTCGGTCGCAAGTACAAAACATTCAGCAGATAGCCATCGGAACTACAAACATATGTGCATACATAACAGTAAGTGTGTATGTATGTATAATCTGGCCAGCTGCGCTCCCTGCCTGAGTATTGGTGGAAGATGATCTTGATGATTGGTCGCGGCTGGGTCCATTTTCGTCCATCTTTTGTCCCCTCAAGTGCCTCAAACTAATTGTTTTGCTGGCTGTGGGCGAATTTTGGCGGTAACGATAGACAAGAATTAATCGGTGCGAGTATTGTGTTGATCGTGTGTGTACACCAATCTTTAATAACCAATTTCCAATCTCTCCAATGATGACGTCAATCAACGGGGCTATGACATCAAGGAACCATCGACTGAAGATACTTGAATTTCGCTTTGTGATTGATAATTCACATCTCTAGATAATACACACCTACCTTCCTATGCTCCTATATGTACATATGTACATATGAGTGTATACCGCGTGTAATTTATAGTTCACATATTGTTGATACGATTTGGGTTTTGCACTTTCTTTTGCCTGTAGACAGCAGGAAAATGCGACCAAAAGCAAACATTTATGGATTGGCTGTTGGTATTGCCCATGAGATACTCTACTTGTGGAGTAGACATACTTAATGCGCGCCAGAGCTGCCTATCCCTGCCGATCCCTATTGAACATCAGACTGAAGGGTTCCCATTTGCTGCTGGCTCACGAATATTTCCTCGTATATGCACGTGGGTGCACATATGTATGTATGTACATACGTATATAGTTATTTATACGCAAATGTGCGTAGTATATATGGACACCAATCAAAGAGCTACATACAGATGTATGTAATTGTGACACGAGTATTTTCATATGTACGAGTATGTGTGAATCCACTCGAGATGTGAGCTTTTGACTTAAAGGCAAACAAGAGTTTACGAGCGCACAGATTAGATTCCATCTAATTGTAGGAATAAACACCAAGTGGTGTTCTTTGGTTTTCTCTTGGAGCCCTTGGCTCCAGCATATCCCCTGCATGGCGACAAAGGCGCTTTCTTTATCGGAGCGTGCAACACACAATTATCGGAAGCGGATGCGGGTGCGGGAGCAGGTGGGGGTGCGGATACGGCCCAAGTCTAAAACATCACTGGAGCTTAAGTGTGCGTTCATCCTGATCAAACTCTCTTTAACGCTGTCCAGAATTGAATTGAGTTGGTTTTTCGGTTTGCGTGATAGCCACGACCACTTGACTTTCTTCATTACTTACTAATATTTATCAATCAGTATGTACATAAAGACTATATACTAATGTATTTCCTAAAAAGGAGCAATCAATAAACTCGTGTGTACATATGTACATGTGTACATACATACATACATATGTACCTATGTATGTACAGATAAAATTTATTTATTTACAACTAGCAAGCCCCCTCGGCATCGCTCGCTAATGAAAGGATATGTGTAAAAGTATATTGTATCTTTGTAGCTCTTTTCCACACCACCATAGAGGTAAAGTTAAAGGCTGACTTTTTCTTAACGTGGTGTGCCCCTTTGTTGGTAGTCGACAACAATCTTTCCTGATATCACATCAGTTATTATACCCGGTACTCGAAGAGTAAATAGGGTATATTATATTTCAGGGGAAAACATGTAACACACACAAAGAAGCGTTTCCGACCCCACAAAGTAGATATATTCTTGATCAGCATCAATAGTCGAGTCGATTTAGCCATGTCAGTCTCTCCGTCTGGAGCGCCTGGATCTCAGAGACTATAAAAGCTAGAGCCACCAAATTTTGCAACAAGATGGCTGTATGCTCACACTGTTACAAGTATAAGCGAAAATCTGCGGTATCCACAATTTTTAAGATAAAAGAAAACTAACGCCATTCCGTAGGGAATGACCATATTTATCAAATCATCAAATTGGGATCCGATTGGATCAATATTATAGCCAGAATAAATAACTTAATTTTTAATGGATAAACCCACACCGTCCACCAGCTTTTTTTATTTTTAGCACATTCTCTCATTCCACACTCTGGTTCGTGTAGTGTGCGGCTCTAGGGGAGGGGGCGAGCTGAAAGAGCGTGCTGGCGTGAGAAGTGATGTAGATTTAGATGACAGATAACGAAAAAATGTTAAATTTTAAAAAAATCCGCTAAGGTACAGATGTAGTACTGCGTACCGGGTATACAAGTTGTGAAGCGTAAGAAGCATCTCACACGTCCCTTCTCGTTTTTCCTACGGCAGAACCTTTTTTTAAGAATTTACAAATATGTTATTTTTTAAGCTAAATAGCTAAGCTACATAAATAGAGAACACAATATATAATTTTTTTTCGACTTTTTCCGAGTTTTTAAAGTTAAAATAAATAAAAATACCTAAATAAAGGAAAAGCACGTGGGGAACATAACCTCTACGCCAGGTAAGTATTGGAGCAAACCTGTAACAAGTTACATATTACGACGTGGCGATTTCCCCCTTGAAAGGCGGGTGGCCAAATAATTCCCCTCTACCTAAGGGTAGAGCGGTAACTTAAAACCTCAAAAAAAAAAAAAAAAATACCGCACTAAAATCCACATTTTTTGCATTTTAAAGCTTAATATTTCCCAGACGATAAGCTAAAACCACCAAGTGTTTAGGTTAACTTTTTAGATGCAACAATCAGCTTTTCAGATAAACAAAGAGTATGTACAACCAGATGTGAGATACTTAAGTAATGTGAAAAAACAAACCGCTACCTCTGAAAAAACCCGTTACAAAAAAATACCAGACCAAAATACTAAAATGTTCTTCCATAGAAAAATGTATTTCATAATTCATTTAAAAGTTTAAATGCCATATCTATCGGTTTAGTTCCTTGACGAAAAAAAAAGTTCGATTTTGTTAAGTAGTGTTATTATAGGATCATGTGGTGTTACTGCTTTTTGCCCGTTTTTTCCCCTTTTCGGACAATTTTAAATAATGCGGATGCTTATGAGTTTACACATGCAGCGCTGCTGGAGGTCTGTATTGGCGAAAGCTGCCTAAATAAAGATTAGACTATTGCAATTTAAACGAAAATTATCGAATTTATTGCTTGGGTAAACAAGTTCCAAGCGAAATGAAACCGCTCGTTGAACTATGGGTAAAAAGCCCGTTTTGTTTTCATTAATTCAAAAACAAAAAGTTAGAGCTCTACAAATTGGCATGAGTGTTCGTTAGAGTAAAGTAGAATTTCGGAAAAAAAATCCTTTGGACCCAGCCTACCTCCCTCCCTCATACGAACTGGAACCCATTTACGTCGTATTTATTATAAACTAGAAGGGACGTGTGAGACGCTTTTTACGCGTCACAAATATTATACCCGGTACTCAGTACTACAGCTGTACCTTAGCGGTTTTTTGTTAAATTTATTTTTAATTAATTAATTAATTAAAATAAAATAAATTAATTTCTTCATTACGGCAATAATAATGATCCTATCTGATTCCAATACGGTGTTCTGATAGATATAGTCATTCCCTACTGAAAGGCGTTTTAGATTACTTTTATCTTCAAAATTGTAGTTTTGGGAGGTTTGCGGGGTCGGAAGGGGGCGGAGCTCATTATTGAAATTCACTTGAAACAGTGTGAGCATACAAAAGTCTGGATGCAAAAGTAGGTGGCTCTAGCTTTTATAGTCTCGGACATGGCTCTATCGACTCGGCTATTGATGCTGATCAAGAATATATATACTTTATGGGGTCGGAAACGCTTCCTTCTGTGCGTTACATACAACCGTTATTCGCACAAATACAATATACCCTATTTACTCTTTGAGTACAGGGTATAATTAAAATAAGCATCACACTACTCCGCCGGATCGTCTCCCTTTCTCTTGGGATGGATGCTTTTGACGTTACGAATTGCCTTTCTTCTCCGTAATTTTCTTGATCCTTCTCTGTTGACAGTCCTGTTAATATTTGCAGGAAGCTAAGCTGCATACGGTACAGAAGCCGTCCACAGATTGGTCCCCATATCTATAACTTTAACCAGTTGGACTGCGGAAAGTGTTTCCAACGGTGTGGTGCTCAATTCAGCCTCTGAAGACACAACGACAGCTTCTGAGGATGGCGATGGTAAATGAGTGACAGGCAGTTGATGGTACTGCTTCTGATACAGAAACGATTCCGCAAAGTTAATCTGGCATTTTGTAATTTTGCTTATGCATATTTCCGCAAAGGAACAATTACGGCTACCCCAAATGGTTATTTATTATGTTTTGAACTCATATTTACGTTTTTAGTTTTCGAGTTATTTCGTATTTTAATGCAATGACAAATCAATCATCTGCGTTTTGCGCTTTTTGAAACCTTTCCCATCGTCCGTGTTGTTAAACGAATAAAAACGAGGAGGATTTATGTGCGACGCTGCGTCGCTAGTTTTATCCCAAATTTCGAATTTGTTGGTGCGTTCAGGAGATCCTTTATATGGATATTATACATTTACTCGCACATATGTACTTGTATGTAATGATATATATGTATTTATTTGCCTAAAAGAGGCCTCTGAGAGCCTCCCTTCAACAGAAATCCGCCTTTCATAATTTCGTAACTTCATTCCTCGATAACTTTAGTACAATAAAATACACTTTTTTATGCAAATTTTTGAAAATGTCGAAAGCCCTGACAGCTTAATTATTTGTACTTGACGAAGAAGCTTCTGATAACACTACTCGAAACGATTTTGCGTTTCGATCCAAATTTTGTATGAGAGATGTGGGGCTTAAAATAGTTTAATGATACATTTTTTTGTCTATGGCAGACTTTTTTATACCCGGTACTCGAAGAGTAAATAGAGTTTATTGTATTTGTGCACAAAGTGAATGTATGTAACACAGAGAAGGAAACGTCCCCGACACCATAAAGTATATATATTCTTGATCAGCATCAATAGCCGAGTCGATTGAGCCATGTCTGTCTGTTCGTCCGTCTGTCCGTCCGTCTTGTTGAGCGCCTGGATCTCAGAGACCATAAAAGCTAGAGCCACTAAATTTTGCATCCAGACTTCTGTATGCTCACACTGAAACCAGTGTATTTCAAAAATGAGCCACGCCCCCTTCCGGCCCCGCAAAAGGGCGAAAACCTCCCAAATCTACAAATTTTGAAGATAAAAGAAAACTAAAAACGCCATTCCGTAGGAAATGGCCATATCTATCAATCTATATCACCAAATTTGGATCCGATTGGATCATTATTATAGCCAGAATGAAGAAATTAATTTGTAGTTGCTAAACCCACCCTGTCCCGCAGCTTTTGTTGTTCTTTTCACATTCTCTCATTCACACTCTGCTTCTGCTTCACTCTGCCCCTGCCTCTGCCGTCCCTCTGCCTATGACAACTTTTAACACACCCCGTCACGCAGCTTACATTTGTTTTTTTGTGTGCGGGCGCTGCCTCTGCCTCAGCCGCGAGTCTGCAGTGTGTGGGTTTAGGAAAAGGCGGCGAGCTTACGGAGCGTGTTGGTGTGAGAAGTGTTGTAGATGTAGATGACAGATGAAGAAAATATTTAAAATTTGACAAAACACCGCTAAGGTGCAGATGTAGTACTGAGTGCCGGGTATAAAAGTTGTGACGCCTAAGAAGCGTCTCATACGTCCCTTCTCGTTTTTAATGCATTTTTAAAAGTTGGTAATTTTGTTTTAGCCTATTTTTAAAGGTAGAATGAGCACTACCTATAAAAACAGGTTACAAAAAAATTCACAAGTTTTCACAAAACTCAAGTAAGCTAATGAATTCATCTATAACGTGTACCCAAATACTTGGTTTTAGCTTACTGTGTGCGAAATATTAATCTTTGAAAAGAAACAATTTTCATTTTTATGAGGAATTTTTAACGAAGGGTCGACTTTAAAAACTCGGGAAAAGTCGAAAAAAATATATCATGTGTCGCCTATTTTTTTATGAACAGGTCATCCATCTCTCAATACCTTGAACAACGCGCAATTATTGCACCTGTTCATAAAAAAATAGTGAACAAGAATCAAAATTCTTTCATTTCAAAGGTAAATGCAATCGACTCTGGAAAGCACTATGATAAAGAGGGACGCTCTGAGGGAACGACGACAGTGAAGAAGGCACCAGTAGCTCTTATGACAAGGAGCCTCGAAAAGTGCTCAACTTCCACTGGCATAGCCTTCATCCCAGAACTATGGGAAATGATGGCAGTCAGAACCAATACATTAGATTCTACATCGGATGCAATACAGTGCTTCAAACTGGTGACCCAAATTGTCCCATTCTGAACCAAACTCAAATCTCCAATCTCTACCAATCCCCTCCACTCTAAAAAAGAATCATCCTGCAAGGGTAAAAGAGACGACCCATAGTGGAAGGCAAGGCACTCACACTCGGAGTTGCATAATAAGTTGAGAAAATCGATAGGGGCTACTTGGAAAGTCTACCACCTGGACTAGACTACCGCTATACCAAATTAATTACAATCATAAAGATTACCGTTCATAAGTACCGTGACTTATAAGTAGTACTTGCCATTGGTCCAACATTGTGCTAAACATTTTTAGCATTAATTAGTCAAATTTTAGCACCACCATGCAAAAGCACATGTGTCAGTTGTCAGGAGCAGTCCGGGTGCCACATGGATAATTATCTCAAAGTAATTGACACTCCACTTTCATGCGTACATGCGTATATCCATATATGTACATTCATATATACTTACATATGCATACTTATATCAGTATAGAATCTTATAAGTAATGCCAGTGCTACGCCATTGTTCCACCCATGACGTATGTATGAATGGCCCCCAGACTGCGTCATGACCACAGAGAAAAAGCACAGGAATCAGAATAAAAATCAAATTCAGGGGCGAGATACACTATCATTTTTACAAGTTATTATAAATATAATTTAAAAGTTATTATTTACAATCCTTTGTGGCAAGCGAACTCTATAAGCCGTGGGATTATAGCCATTAGAAAGGCATGTCGCGGCATATCATATGACATACATTGTATTAAATAAAACACCCATTGCAGGTGCATATAAAGCAGGGCTCGGCACGCATATGAACACACATACATATGTACATACGTACAACATCGCGCTGAATTGTTGCGTTTGTGCGCAAAGACAGAACGAAAACGAAACATTGAAATACATTGGCCTTGGTACGAATCACTGTAATATGCGTGTACGTGAGCTGCAGCGCATTAGGAGCCCCTTGTCCTATACCCAATAGATAGGGCCAAACTAAACAGTCTTGCTTCGCCCTGTCATTATTTGCGAGCAACAGCTTAATACCATCAACGATTTATTTATGAGGGATTGCTTTGACGTTTTTGTTCAAAAGTTGTAGTAAATTATAAACAACACGACAACTGACAACTGTAGCCCAGCTGCTTACCAGCAAACCATCATCAATAAAGTACGAGTATGCCACCGATTGGAGTCTTCATTCAAAAAATTTTTTGAGACACTTCCAGACTTTCAAATTAAATAAGTGACACCTTTTTGAATAGAGTGGAATGTAGGCTTTAAAAAAGAAATCCATACATATTTGCATTCCATCTTCATTTTGTTCATAACTTTCGACGAATACCCCTGAAATTTAGTCACCATCAATAAACTTAATGTATTACATTAAATATTTTGATGAAAGAAATGTTTGGACATGGCTGTATTTTTGTTTTTGAAGCTTTAAAAAATCGTTGTTTGCTCCAGTAGAGGATACCTAAGATTTTGATTAAGAACTAAAGCGAAGAGGTATAATGGAATTGAAAACTAATTAAACATTTTAACTAGAAGAAGATCCCTGAAAACTGATCTTTTATGCGAAAAACGTATCTTTTAGAGGTTGGTTCGAAGATGGTGGAAGGCAAGGTCAAAGTCTTCAATATCCTTACTGGTGAATGTAAAGTTGTATAATAAGGTAAGAAATACCAAAAATAATGCGTGTGGCGTTCACAGATATCAGATTAGTGCCCAAAACGCTGAAAAAAAACAGTATTGAGTTGGAGCATTGCACAAAACTGTGTGGGCCAGCATACTTTTTCATACATTACATTTATATTCCAGTTGAAAAACGACTTTAAAATTGATCTTTCAACAAGATAATGATCCGAAATACTTAAGAAAGCTCGCCAGAAATTGGGTTTCACCTGTAAATGTCGGCGTTTTTCCTTGTTCAAATCAGTCCCTGGATGGGAATGTCATCAAAATCTTATGGGGGAATGCCAAAATCATTATAATAAATTAAATTCCGGCAACCAGAGTGAAAGCCAGTGTTTAAAAGATTACTGGCTAAAGTCCTATTGAAGCTTGGGCATAACCTTATTTATTTATTCCAGGCGGGAGTAAGGAAGTAATTAAATCAAAATTGAAAAGAAGCTTCATATTAAATCCAAGAAACATGTAGAGCATGAAAGATGGGTATTAACTTGAGTTTCGGATTTTTTTTTTTAATTTTGAAAAAATGCACTACTATTTCATTGAACAGCACTTTTCATGGGTATTTTTGCCAAGTCATGTAAAACAAGAAGACTGAACGCAAACGTTCCAGGACTCCTTCTGGTTTCTAATGTGTACATTTCAGGCTTTCTAAAAAGGTATCACTTGTTTAATTTGGATGATTGAAAATGTCTTAAAAATAGCTTTGAAAGTGGTCAGGTGCGGCACTACTATTTAATTGAACACAGCTGTATGTATGTACATATACATAGAATTCCATAAATTTTGCGATCGAAGCCACCACCCAAGCATATGCAGAAAGGGAGATTATTGCGAGTCTGGTCGTTCTCTATTTTCTGAGCTTGGAAAGTACCGGATATCTTGTGCGTACAATTCTTTTATAGCCGGTACTCGAAGAGCAAGTATTTGTGGGGAAAAAATGTAACGCACAGAAGGAAGCGATTTCGATCCCACAAAGTATATATGTACATATATTCTTGATCAGCATCAATAGCCGAGTATGTCTGTCCGTCTGTTCGTCTTGTTTGTCGGCTAGTTCTCAGAGACTATAAGAGTTAGAGCCACAGAATTTTGCCTTCAGACTGCTGTGAAATAACACTAATACAGGGCTCGGCGCCCATACAATAAACGAGCCGATTTTGCGTTTGGGTCTGAAGTCGCACGCAAAACAGAACATTTCACTATATTGGTATTGGTACGAATCACTGTAATACGCGTGTACGTGAGCGGAAGCGCATCCGCAGCTGCAGCGCCTAGTCCTATACCCTTTAGATAGTGCCGTGCCGAGCCCTTCACTAATACAAGTGTATTTTGAAATTTCTCCTTCAACCCCTACAAAGGGCTAAAATCTGCTGTATTCACAATTTCAGAGTGGATCATTATTAGAGCCAGAATGAAGAAATTGCGTATATTTGTTGCTCATAATATCTCGCTGGAACACTCTGCATAGTGTGGTGTGCGGATTTTGTGGACTGCACTATGGGTAAAAAGCCCGAATTTTTGGCATCTATGTAATTTTTTTTGGGTAAAATATATGAATGCGACTTAACTTTTCTGATTCCTAAATATCCAGATAGAACAAAACTGTTTTAGAAGATTTTTACCTTTTACCAAAGTCGGCTGATTTTAAGATGCTTAGACTTGTGAAAAAGTGCGGGAAAATTTGAGCAACTTGCAGCTGTAATTGTAGCTCGATGTAGGAAATAAAATTATTTAAATTAATTTTTAATACATGTTTTCTGTGGAACATTACTTTTGCACAGCACACCACTGCACAGAGGTTCAAGTTACATGTTATTAACCAAATATTATAGAATCAAGTGGTGTTAATGCTTTTTGCCCGTTTTTGCCCCTTTTCGAACAATTTTATGTTTTGCAGATGCTTATGAGTTTACTCATGCAGCGCTGCTGGAGGTCTGGACCAACAAGAATCGTGAAGCAGACGCAATAAAATGTTATAGTTTAAAGAGTATTGACAACGAGAAGGGACGTGTGAGACGCTTCTTAGGCGTCACAACTTTTATACCCGGCACTCAGTACTACATCTGCACCTTAGCGGTCTTTTGTCAAATTTTAAATATTTTCTTCATCTGTCATCTACATCTACTACACTTCTCACACCAACACGCTCCTTTAGCTCGCCGCCCTTTCCTAGACAAACACACTGCAGACTCGCGGTAGAGGCAGAGGCAGCACCCGCACACAAAAAAAACATATATAAGCTGCGGGACAGCTTATAGAGGGACAGTGGCAGAGGGACGGCAGAGGCAGGGGCTGAGTGAAGCAGAAGCAGAGTGTGAATGAGAGAATGTGAAAAAAACAAAAAAATCTGCGGGACAGGGTGGGTTTAGCCACTCCAAATTAATTTATTCATTTTGGCTATAATAATGATCCAATCGGATCATTACCCAATTTGGTGATCTGATAGATATGGTCATTCCCTACGGAATGGCGTTTTTAGTTTTCTTTTATCTTCAAAATTGATTTGGGAGGTTTCTACCCTTTTGCAGGGGCGGAGGGGGCGGGGCTGTATGTGTGAGCATACAGAAGTCTGGATGCAAAATTTTGGGGCTCTAGCTCTTATAGTCTCTTATAGTCTCTGGGTACTAGCCTACAAACAAGACGGACAGACAGACATGGCTAAATCGACTCGATTATTGATGCTGATCAAGAATATATATACTTTATGTGGTTGGAAACGTTTCTTCTGTGTGTTACATACATTCACTTTGTGCAAAAATACAATATCCCCTATTTACTCTTCGAGTACCGGGTATAAAAACTGAGTAGCAAAGTAGTAGTACTGAGTAGTAGTACTGAGTAGTAGTTACTGAGTAGTAAAGATGAAACTATTACAATTCAAATGAAAATTATCCAATCTATTGCTTAGTTAAACAAGTACTAAGCGAAATTCAATTGTACGTTGGAGCGATTCCAATCATATTACTTTTAACCAATCAATCATTAAATCAGTCAATCAAATATATTTTTGAAAAGTTCTGAAATATTTTAAATGATCTTTTATCATAATTAATTTTTTGAATACCTTTCTTTATAATAAATACGACGTAAATGGGTTCCTGTTTGTATGGAGGCCGGAGGTAGGTGGGGTCCAAATGACTACATTTTCCGAAATTCTACTTTCGTCTAACGAACATTCATGACAATTAGTAAAGCTCTAGCTCTTTTGGTTTTGGTTAATGCCAAAAAAACGGTCTTTTTACACATAGTGGACTGGGCGAGCTAAAAGAGCGTGTTAGCGGCAGAAATGAAGTAAGTAGATGTAAATGACAGATGACAAATGACAGAATGA